TTTTTTAAAAGGTATCAGGGGAGCATGAGAATCGAGGGGTTATTCACTGAAATCGAAAAATTCGAAATTTTTTAAAAGGTATCAGGGGAGCATGACATGACACTCGAGGAGCTATTTACTGAAATCGAAAAATTCGAAATTTTTTAAAAGGTATCAGGGGAGCATGAAAATCGAGGAGTTATTCACTGAAATCGAAAAATTGGAAATTTTTTAAAAGGTATCGGGGGAGCATGAAACTCGAGGAGCTATTCACTGAAATCGAAAAATTCGAAATTTTTTAAAAGGTATCAGGGGAGCATGAAAATCGAGGAGTTATTCACTGAAATCGAAAAATTCAAAATTTTTGGAAAAGTATCAGAGGAGCATGACAATTGAGGAGGTATTCACGGAAATTTGAAAATTCAAAATTTTTGAAAAAGTATCAGAAGAGTATGGCAATTGAGGAGAGTTTCACGGAAATTTGAAAATTCAAAATTTTTGAAAAAGGATCAGGAGAGGATGACAATTGAGGAAGTATTCACTCAAATTGAAAAATTCAAAACTTTCAAATTTCCGTGAATACCAATTTCGTAAAACAGAAAATAACATTCACCACATCGACTAGTCGCTCTGACAGCGGGACTGCTACTGAGGCAGCTATAGTGAATGTTATCAGAGGAGTAACGTCGGCCGTAACCCCCACTCTCCGAAATCCCCACTCGTGTCCGTGTTCCCCACCAGTCGAGCCGAACAAAACCGAAGTTACTTCTTTGGTAATATTCATATACCGAGTCGGCTGACGGGCAGACCCCCCACCATTGCGTGTAATGCCCTCTTTCGCTTGGGGTGGTGGTACTACGATGCCGCTGGGTCCCTCAACCCCCCAGAACTGAGCCTCTACTTTAGTCAATCTTCTTTGGTGGAAACCAAAGCCTACTGATTTTTCATTCTTCGATTCAATTTTTGCACAAAATATTGCAACTGTCACCTTTTGCTACCCCACGGGGTACCCTCCACGAAATTGTTATCCATGATTTTTTTTACACTGAAAGCTTATCTGCCGTCGCCTGAATGAGAGTTACTCAGAGCGAACGCCGGTAATGAAAATTCCAGAGACATCTTGGTTCTTATCAACACGAGATAAGCTATATTTTATCCATCGAAATCGATGAATAGCTATCCAGGAAAAATGGAAATTAATCCACCCCCTGGGGGAGGTCGTCGCGATCGCTTATCCGAACCTAAGGAATTTCAAAGTGAATAGAAATTGAACAAACGAAATAAAAAATATAATGAAAACGATTAAAAATGCATTTTTCTGCCACTTTGAAAAAAAAGCAATTGTGCAAGGAATCACTTTATCATTTCAGTATTAATTTCTCCGTTAAAAAAAAATATATTTCTTGCAGTTAAAGTTTCTCTAACTGAAAATCTGGCGTTCTCCTATTTGAAGACAGATTTTTTATTGGTTTTATAAGGTTTAATTGGATTTGATGGGGAAAGTAGGCGTTATCTGAATTGCTAGTTGCAAAAGGCAAGTGAGATATGCAAAAAGTGTGAAACAAGGGTGGATGAACGAGTGAGTAGTTACGGCCGATCGCCCCGGATCCCGTACATCTCATTAATCCTAATGCCCTCCACTTTTGTATGCATAACGATGAAAACACTTGGAGCACTCGGAGGGAGTCAGTCCGGGAATTCGTACTCGCATTTCTGTCAGTGTACACACAATATTCATCCACAATACGCACATGGGGGATGAAGTACCCGGAGGGGTGCGCTCATGCGAGCGCCTCCGTCGCTTGATATTAATTAATAATCAGAAACAGATGCAATCCCCCTCGTCGTATAAATGTTACGGGTAACGATAATTATTTAAGTCACCTCCCACTGGTAACTTTGGTGGCTTGGCTAATTAAAGAGCAACTCCCGTGAACGCTCGGCTGAAGTCTCCAGGGAGGATTTTTCTTCCCTCAAACCTCCCTCCGGAAAAATTCCGATTGGAATTTATCGAGAAAACCTTCCAGATTCACCCATTTTACTCCCTATTTTCACGCTTAATACTTTATTATATTCTAAATATTCTGATCTCTTACTGCTTTTTCATTTTCGAAGACTACCCCATCACCCCCTACATTACGCTTAAAAAAAAAATCCGTTGTGTATTACATCGCCTCATGCCAATCAGGACATCACGTGATTGATCAGGTGTTTAAATCGACCCATTTGCCCGTCTGGAATTTGAGGCCAGAATGAATAAAAAAAAGAAAATTTGGGTAAAAACTCATTCTCGTAACGTCAAGTGGTTTTCAACGGTTTCTCCTTATCTAAAACCAAGAAGTAACAATTTTTGAAGATTCTCCCGAAGATGTATATCCGCGCATTGTGGAGGCTGATGGGGATGGAAAATTTGAATTACGAGAAAAGAGGAAAACCGTAGAGAATCCGGATGGCGCTTAGCCAGAGGAGTCTCTCCCCCGGGGAGTGTCCGCCTTAATATCCGCCTCTAACATTATTTCATAAAAGTATTACTATAAATTCAAACTCACGTTATTTAAGTCCCGTTTCCTCCGGTACTACTGGGTTCCTTTTTGGGGGGTGGAAGTTGGAAAAGACAGTGCAGATTGTAACTCGACGGTGGGAATAGGAGAGAGAATCATGTACGTCCTGTAACCCGTAGTTATACGTTAGACGCTTCCTTATATTATTACCACGTCGTGGAAACTTGCTCTTTCTCGCACCCCCTCGCACCCCAACCTTTCTATCCAACTTCGTATCCACTGCATTTGGAATATTTCATCCCAGATCTTGGACTTGAGCCCCTGCAAAATTTAAAACTTTATTTGCAACGATGGATTTCGTCTTTGACTTTTTATCGGCTACGAGAAATTATTCCTTCGGACTTTCAATTATACCTCAAAGAAACGCCTCCGGAAAATTCCCGATCCTGGAAATTCTATTGGGTAAACGGGAATTTTCTTTGCAATTTTTTCTAAATATCATTTGTAATCTGGAAAATTACATGGAGATGATGAAAATTATTCTGAAAATGTCTTGTGGAGAAATATTGAAAAACGAGAGACATTTATTACTTCCAAACAAGTGGCGTCGATCAATCGGTGGATTCCCGTGCAACAAACAAAACAGTATTTACGTGCGATTGAATATAAAAAAAGACAAAAGGATTGATCGGGTGCAGAAGTTAAATGTATTGTCCTGGCGTGAGTCCATTATGTGACCATTAAAATCCACTCGGAAAAGAGCGAGAAGAGCGGTACAAAAGGGCGTAATTGAATAGTTGTTGTGAGGCTGAAGGAGGGAGAGTAAAAAAAATAGTGGGCATATGACACATTCATATTCTTGGCAGTGTCTGAGGAGGTGGGTCTCGGCGTTGAGGGCACTGGTGCAGACCAGCGGACTCTGGTATTTCAGTCCTGGTATTTCAGTCCTGGACGTCAGAGTGAGACAGAATCGTTTGAAAAACGGTGTGGAGGCCAAAACCAGGGTGACTTTACTCCTAGCATGTAGGCAAAGGAAGAAAATACGTGGATATTTCTTATCCCAGTGCACGTAACGTTCTAACAAGCTACCAAAGTTTACCAATAAATTGTACGTGAAAAGGATGCGGCGATATTTCCACTGGGAATTCTTCGCGAGTCGAGACAACGAGACAGTCAAAATTTTGATTTATCCCACTCTCAGAAATATACTGTTTAAATTACCTGCGTAAAAAAAATT